AGAAGTTAGATTAATTTGATAGAGTTGTAACGTCTTACGAAATGACAACATCAGCATCAATGGGGTTTCTCTAATTAAAAGCAGCAGCAAATTTTCCAAGTTCTTATTTTCATATGTGTTGTGCAGGATTTAAAAATTAATAACAAAGTTCTGTTGGGTGGGATAAGCCTGGGAGCAAAAATCCAGCCTCCTTTTGTGCCAACTTCCTTTAGAAAGTGCTGGGAGCCCTGAGGGGAGGGAACCAGGGTCTGACGAAAACTCACAAACATACAGAGAGCCGTTTAATAGTTTTTGAAGATTTCCCCCCCCTGTAAAATGGCTTGTATTTCCACAGGTACAATAGTGAAGAAATAAACTTTTCAATTTGACATGATATAAAAAAGAACAGTTTTACAAATATATCCGTAAAATTTAACTGCTCAGTAACACTATACATGGTAAATATACATGGTAAATATTCAATACAGAGACGCGAACTGTCATTTCAGTTCAAAAAGAACAACTTCCCTTTCATCGAATTGAGTTTTGCTTGTTAGGAGTATGTTCAGAAGTGGGACAATCTCCACTGTGCCCTACGGCTACTCCATGAGGGCTGAGATTCTCTTGGGAGGACATTAAGTTTTACGAAAAAGAAAATACTGAATTTTTTCTCTCTCTACGGCTTCAATGACGCTTACATGGTTGTGAAAAGATTCTGATGTGGTCTCACTGGCCTGTGATTGATTGGGTCTTGACGGAAACAAAGACCACAGAGAAATACTTCCCTTTCCGGTGCTGAACCAGAAACTTCACGACATCAGCCTGTGGAGGCCAAACTCTAGGGCTAGCTGAGCCCCAGCCAAGGACGTGGAGCTGGTTTGGTTTAAACTCAAGGTTCTGCAGCGTGTCTATCAGAAGCCCCACTGTGAGGAAGCAGGGATGTAGAAAGAGAAATCGTTTTCCTCCAGTGCTAACCCTGGTGTGATCGATCCTAACCCTTTCATGCAATTCCAAAGAAAAGAATGGCTGTAACCAAAGAGGGGAAATGGGGCAAAATCAGAGAACTGCACGTAAAGGTTCTAT